ACCCAGAGCTGTGGTGACCTTGTGTGTGAAGTGTCTCCCTGCAGAACGTAGCTTAGTTCTTAACACTGGGCTTTGGTCTAGGCTTCCAAAGTTATTTATTTTATTTTGTTGAGATGGAGTCTCTCTCTTGTTTCCCAGGCTGGAGTGCAGTGGCGTGATCTCGGCTCACTGCAACGTCTGCCTCCTGGGTTCAAGCGATTCTCCTGCCTCAGCCTCCCAAGTAACTGGGATACAGGCATGCACTACCACACCTCGGCCTCCCAAAGTGCTGGGATTACATGCATGAGCCACCTCGCCCAGCTGCAAAGTGATTTTTAAGCAGAACACTAATAGCTCTATTTATTTTCATTCGCTGCTCTCTCGTTCTCTGTCCTGGGCTTTTTGTTTATACTTTATAGAATGATGGGATGCATTTTGAAATTAAAGCAGAATCATGAAGGATCCCCAGAGGGAGGGCAGGCGTCCATCAGTTTCACAGGAGCGTGATTAGGCAGATTGACCCAGGTAAGCGCTACACTGCTGCTCACACAACCGTTTGGGTCCCTTGAAAGTGACTTTCCTCAGGCTTCTTCCAGACGCATACCAAGAGAATGGCAGATGAAAGACATCTCTGGAACTGGACTGCCCAGTTCAGATCTGGGCTCTGCCACCAACCAGAATGACCTTGGCACATCACTGAACCCCGGGAGCTGAGCTTCTTCACCTGCAAAATAACAGTAACAAAAGTACACACCTCATAGGGTTTTTGAGATGATTAAATGAGATGCTCGGTGCTAAGTACTTATAACAGTGGCTGGCACATGGTCATTACATGATGGATAAAGTGAGCCGCTGCAGCAGGGGAGGGAGGGTTGTTCCTCTGTGTCGCATCCGAGAAGACGTAAAGCAGCCGTTTTCCCCGGTACTGTGAAAAGGTCACCGTGCTGTTTCTTTGTAATTGTCGTATTGAAGGTCTTGGGTCGTTAAGGTTATTTTTCACTTAGCCTTTCAGTCTCTATCTGTGGCCTCAAGCTCTCGCCTCCCTTAGAGCTGGTGATTCTAGGGTTATGACAGCTACTCTAAACGAATCTCCCGCAGAGATGTTCTGCCACATTTCCCCCTCCTCTCTCTAGGCAGCTTAGCAGCTTGTCTGCCTGTTGTATCATTCCATTACCTAACTCATTATTAGCAGTGACCTGCTGAGAGTTTTGAGGCACTGGGGAATGAGGGGCTATGAAGAGTCAGGTTCCGTCGCAAACTGTTGTGGGTGCAAATTTGGAAAAGGTATTTCCTGTTTGCAGAGGGAAAGGAGTGGCTTTTCATTTATCTCTGAAGGTAAACTTTCATTTTAGGCAAAACTTAAATATTAAGGACTTCCGACATGAAACAGCTTAGGCGGCGGCAAAAGACTGGCTGAGGTTGTAACAGAGACAGAGAAAGATCTCTGCCTTCACTGCCAACAGAAACTTACAGAAGCGCCTGGAGAAGGCTTCTAGAATGCAGGAAAGACAGATGATCGTGTTGTGAATTATACAAAGTGGACCGTGCCTGTCACAAGCCAGGTTTGCTCTTCTCGTGTATCAGTGTGCAAAGATAATTAGGAAAGGAAACGTTCGGGTTTTGATTCCAGGATCTTAGTAATTGTAGAGAGTAAGAAACGAACAAGCAGAGCTCAGGCTTCTGTGACTGCCCGTGTCACAGAGTGTGATTGGAAGGCTTCATGTCCACGATCCCTAGGAGTCGTATCACCCTGTTCTTGGGAACTTGGCCTGTCGGGTGGCGGTGGATCGTGGTTGTTTTCCTGTATCAGTGCTTGATATGTTTATTAAGAGGTCTGTGGATCTTGAAAGCCCTGGTTTGTTTTCTTCCTTCCGGCAGCTGTACTTACTGCCCCCACTTCCACATCTGTGAGTCACTGAGCTTTGAAATGTGCTGGCGCACCATGTGAGCCCAGCATCCCTCTCCCTGGGGCTCCACAGATGATCAGAACCTCGTCTTCCCTGGATTTACTCTAACGCTGAGTACTACAAGGTCATTTCCAGGGCTGCCACTGTTTCTTCTCATATTCGCTGCAGTTTAATTTTTAGCTCTTAACACTGGAGTTTGTTACCTGGGAAGAAAGAAATTTGCTGTAGCACACAGCAGCAAATGCATTTTTCCTTCTCTTCCAACTGGAAAATCACTCCCACCCAGTTTTATCCCGGGAGGGAGGTTAGTGGTCTGAGAATACTTGCATGTTTTTGGATGTGAGCGGAGATTGTACTCCTATTTTGTTGCCCCCCCCCCCCTTTGTTTTTTGTGTGACCCTCATTTGGCATCTGTACACAGAAACTGTTACTTCTCTTCAGGCTGTCATGTGTCTTTGTGACATTGCCCCTAATTTGCTTCTGAATATGCAGTAAAAGGTAAAAGTCATGATTAGGCTCAATAAGCATTACGGCGTCTCTTGACTCTTTCATGCCCTAAATGCCTGCTAATCCCATGGTGCCCGCCTCTTCCCTGGATGGTAGAGTGTGGCCTGAGGTGACATTGCCCTTTGATAAACTGGAACCTGGAGGAGAGCTGTGACCTCCTCAGGGCATACAGGGAGCTGGGAGCAGGATTGGAGCCCGAGTTTCCTGATTTCACCCCATTGTTCTTTCTAGGGGACACTTCTTTCTGGGAGTGTAAACAACGCGGTCGCAGTCATGACTGCCATTTATTAAATATCAAATGGATGCCAAGCCCGTACATTGTCTCTCATTTTCATAATTCTGCAAAGTAGAATTTTACAGATAAAGAACCTGAGACTGAGAGAAGCTGAGTTACTTGCTCAGAGCCTCTCACCTGGTCTTGGACAGAGTCCAGATTGAGCCCAAGTGTGTTATAAGCCTGCCCTGTGTTCTTACTGCATTGCAGAGGGTTTATGCCAGCTCCAGCGATAACTGGTAAGAAACCAGAAATCTACATGCCGGCTCCCATCCCTTCACTTGACTGGCAGACGATGACTCTATGGCTGCTCTGGGCCAAGCACATAGTGGGCACCGGAGAGCAAGACGGACGGGAGCTGATCTTCGCAGCCCTCATTTCCATGCAGTTTTCCCTCTCACTCTCCGCGCACCGTCTTCTGCACATCCCCGAACCTCTTTCATGACCCAGTTGCTCCCGTGCACGATGCTCTGATGCCCCCTCCTTTCTGTGTCTCCAGCCACTTCAGGGCGAGGGCCGCACTGCAGTGTCTCACGGAGACTGGCTGTGCGGCACCTGTGGGCCTTCCCGCGCTCTCTAGTTCGTGGCGCTCAGTGAGAACTTGCAGAGGCCTGTGTGTCCACGATGTGTTGTGCGTGCATTGCCTTCTTGACTCTTCCAGCCACTTTATGTGGTGTAGCTGTAGTCACTATCCCCATGTGAGCAAAAACAAACACGCAAAAAGTGCCCAGCTCAGAGAGGATAGACAGCTCCCTAAGACGCTGCTGCTGGTCATCATTAAAGCCAGGCTCTGGGCTGAGGCTGATGAACCCACCAGCCTGTGCACTGCAGACACTTGGGACAGGCTCATAATACAGGGCAAAGAAAGAGGTCTTTCTGCCAATCTATACATAAACAAAAACACTCTGAAATCAGCTTTTAACTATGGGTATCTGAATTGTGAGATAAGCTAGCATATACTGAGCCCTCCCCTGTCTTAGGCAGTTGCAAAATTTTTCTTTTTTCTTTTTTTTTTTTGAGATGGAGTCTTGCTTGCTCGCCCAGGCTGGAATGCAATGGCAATGGTAGGATCTCAGCTCAGTACAACCTCCATGCCTCCCGGCCTCAAGTGATTCTGCTGCCTCAGCCTCCCAAGTAACTGGGGCTACAGGCACCCACCACCATGTCTGGCTAATTTTTGTATTTTTAGTAGAGACGGGTTTTCACCATGTTGGCCAGGCTGTTCTCGAAACTCCTGAACTCAGGTGATTGGCCCGCCTCGGCCACCCAAAGTGCTGGGATTACAGGCGTGAACCCCACACCCAGCCAGGCAACACTTTAAATATATATCTTTAAATATATATATTTAATTTGTGGTAACTCAAAAGGTCATTACCCCTTAGCTTTTGGAGGGAGCAGGCCAGAAGGCCGATGCCTCCAGGAGGGCTTTGTTTACTGTGTGGATAAGTGCCCCTTCTGTCCGAAGCTCTGGACCCCCCTGGGCATCTGCACTGGATGTGTTAGTGTTGGCCATGAAAGACAACTGCACAGTTTAGTGGTTTAAGCAAGACAGAAGTGTAAACGCAGCCAGCCAGGGCACGCCACGCACGTCCCCTCAGCTGTCTTCTGGCTTGTGGCTCTGCCATCCTTAACACAGGTGAGCATTACCCCTTCCCACAGGTGAGGCAGCCGAGGCTTAGAGAAGCGTGGCGGCTTGCCTGAAGTTACATAGCAGGTCACTGTCAGACTCATATTCACATTCTCCTCTGACTCCAAACCTATGGCAGCCTCCCAGGATCCCATTTCTTCTCTCTGAATAAGAGTCAGATCGGGTCCACTGAGAAAAGACCTGCAGTTTGGCAGGTCCCGCCACAACAGCAGGGGAAGAAGACAAGGCACTGTATGAGCAGGCAGACCGGCCCTTTCCCAAAAGCAGCAGAAGAATCTTGCCACCCTGTGGGGGCTACCAGCTTTACAGTGAGACAGGAAGAGGACGAGGGTTTTAAATTACAGTGCGTCTCCTGTCACCATTAGAGGAAAGGTGTATCCTTGCTGGCCATAGGAAGCGACGGAGATGGGAGTGCAAGACTGGAAGGAGAGGGCCGAAGAGCTCTGAAAGGAGCCTGCACCTGTGGGCATCTGGAGACGGGCCAGCACAGCCTCGCCAAGGAGGGGTCTGGAGGGACAGGCCAAATTCTAACTGATGTCAGTGTGTACCTCACTGACTGCTGGGAGCATGGACTGTTTTAAAAGAATGAAGGAAGTCCCATATTCTGCTTCAGCATAGTGTCGAGCGAGTTCAGAGGCCACCCAGCCACGTGATGTTGCTAATCTTAGCGGTTTTTATTTTTCAGGCAACCTCAGAACCTGTTCTGGATCCACAGCAAATCCAAGCATTTGATCAGCTTTGCCGCCTCTACCGAGGAAGCTCCAGGGTAATGTTCGCCTGCCTGTTTATATTTTTGTTTCCCGGTTTGTAATTTCCTGCTTTAGAAACGCAGTGTCTCCAGACCTCCCTCTAGCCTCCTCCCAGCCTGGAAGGTGCCCTGGCATCCCCGTTATGGCTACATGGACAACAGACTCTGGCCCCAGGGAGCACTCAGAGCTTGGCAAAGAGGGCAGAGGAAGTGGAAAGCTGTCTGTTCCTTACCTGCCATGAGCTATGAGGACACAGAAGTGCTTCTGTGTTTGACCTCCCTCCAGAGAGAGCAGGCCGGAAGGCTGGTGCCTCAGGAGGGCTTTGTTTGCTATGCGGATAAGTGTCCCTTCTGTCTGAAGCCCTAGACCCTCCTGGGCATCTGCATTGGTTGAGCTAGTTTGGCCATGGAAGGCAAATGCACAGTTTAGTGGTTTAAGCAAGAGAAGTGTAAACGCAGCCAGCCAGGGCTCGCCACGCACGTCCCCTCAGCTGTCTTGTCTTGTGGCTCTGCCATCCTTAACATGTGACTTCAACTTGGATGGTTCACCGTGGTGGCTTCCACTTACCTTCATTGTCTAGAATTTAGACCGTTGGCCACACCTTACTGCAGTGGAGACTAGGAATATTGGTCTTGATTCCGAAAGACCTTGGGCTGAAATTCTTGGTCTACTCTAACTGTGGAAGAGGAGCACAGACTGGATGGTGTCCAGCAGTCACTGCCCCTGCATCAGACCGGGTGTCCCCCAGGCACTTCGCATGTGTATTCATCCACTGTCTCCACCTGTTCTTCTGTGCCTAGGGCCTGCCTCAGGAATGGCACCTCTGCCGTCCAGCCACCCAGAGTAGAGACCTGGCAGCACTAGGCTCAGCCCTCACCTTCTTTCCCCCCGACTGAGGACGTCCTGTGGGATCTTCTCTGCTAATCCCCCTTGCGCCACTACCCCGGGTTGGGTCTCCTTATCATTGGGCCACTGCAGGTCTTCTGATTGGCTGGAAACCCTTCTGTCCCTTCTCCATGCGGCTGCCTGGCCACCCTTTCTAAACCCAAATGTGTCGTGTCACTCCCTTGCTGAAGACGCGTTCTGGATCTCCACCACCTAAAGAACGAGTCCAGACCTGCGGCCTCCTCGCTGCTCCCATTTGTTCCTGAGCCGCGGCGAGCTCGTGCAAACTGCTGCCTACTCGGCTTCTCTGCCCGGGCTCCCTTTGCCCGCTCCCCATTCTTAGGCAGAACCTGCTAGGTTACTTGGTAGCCCAGGGGAAAAAGTGGTGTTCCCTCTTTGAGAGTTGGTCTGGGCAGAGGTTGTTATTCCAGGAAGCTTCTCCAGGGTCTTCCTGAACTGGCGTCACCCCATCCCTCCCCGCCTCAGCCAGGCTCCGCCCAGGGGTTGGGTTTCTGGGTCTTCCAAGGAGGTTCTTCTGCTTCAAACTGTTGAGCTCTTATTTAGGGCTCATTGGTTTCCAGATCACAAAGTGGCCAAAGCAGAACACAAACATCTCTTTTCCCGGGAAATACAAGGCTTTCGTTACCGCTGTTCTTGCAGTTGCTCTTCCCACCTCCCAGTGTCAGGATGTGAAGGCACTGAGCTGAGCTCCTGTTGCCCATTCTGCTCAGAGCATTGCACATAACAGTCATTGCAGGGAGCTTCGCAGACTAATGGGCACTGGGAGGGTTATGGAAGAAAGGAAGTGGCACGAGGTGGACTCGGATAGAGCAAGGGACATCTCTTGGTCCCTGCCCGATGGCTTGAGTGGGCCTGCTTGGGCACTTTCAGTCAGAGCTTGAGTCAGAGTGACTGACTTGTGGATCAGACCGTAGATGTGTCTCCAGGCCAGGACCTGGATTATTTTTGATAAATTGACACTTAGGAGCCTTCAGATGTCTCCCCAGTTCCCACAGACACCGGCACTGAGTTTTCAACAGAAGTGACAAATGGACACACGAGCTTGTGGCACTGTTGCTAGAGTTCGGAGGGCACCTCAAAGACATGGTGCCTGGCAGGTGACTCCATGCTGCCACTTCCCGCTGTTGACCTAGGGCAAGTCACTTCTCAGGCTCCAGGCTTTCTGCCCCAGAGGGATGTTATGAAGGATCAGAAATCACACACATGGCAAGGACCTAGCAAAGTGCCTGTGGTGGAAAGACACTCGATACCGTCACGGAGGCGATTCGACATCCCCTCGGACCTCTGACATGTTGAGTGGACGCAGACAGGTAGCCGGAGGAGTGTGATGGCCCGCTCGTCTCAGCTGCACATGCCCCATGGGCCAGGCTTTCACCGCCTCCGTGTGAGCCTACACAGGGTCCCTTAGAGTTCGGGTAGTGGGACACGACAGCCTCTCCCACAGGGCCCAACTCCTGTTATTAGGGAACGTTTTTACCTTGGCTCTGAGTTTTCCTTCAAGTTAGCTCTGCGGGGTGGAAGTTAACTCACAGTGTTCTGGGAAGCAACAGGCAAAGACACTAATCAGGCAGGAAGTCTGAGGACCTTGGGTGTAGAATTCATCTCTTCTCTGACCGTCAAGGGCACCTCAATAGCCAGGCTGCCAGCTCCCTACCTTCGTAGAAAGGGAAGGCCCCTCTGAGTGGCAGCGCGCTGGCTTCCCAGCAGGCCACGTCAGGATTTCCTCCTACCCTTCTCTCCTCCTTGACAGCTCTTCCAGAATTGAGCCACTGACAAAGCGAGGGCACTGCTGGTGTCATGGGTGGGAATCAAGAAGTTGGGAGCAGGGAGGACTCAGAGGAGAAGGTAGAATCCAGGAGTTCGACTCTGGAGCCCCTGAGTTTGAGTTGGCAGCTGGGTGTCTGTGAAGCCTTCCGGGTTACAGAAGAGCGGTCAGAGCCAGTGGTGAGCCTTAGTCATTCACTCCGAGGGGACTGCACCAAGAGGCAGAGCCGGGCACCAGCAAAGCTGAGCACGGAGCTCCTCGGCCCGGGGCGCGTCCACAGGGAAGGAACGTTCAGCAGGGCAGTCCTCAGTGGGGGGCTCTCCAGAGCCGGGCAGAGCAGTTTGTGTGCCCTTGGGAGCGAACCCGTCCAGTCTCATTATTGGATGAGGAAATATAGGCCCTAAAAGATGAAGTGAACTTGCCCAGTCACTCTGCTAGTTTGCGACGTACAGACCTGAGATTCCGACGCAGGGTTTTCACTGCTCCTGCAAGACAGTGCTGCCTCTCATGTGTCTGAAACAGGAACTAGGAGCCTCCGTACCTCTGTTACACGCCCCCTTCCCTCTGCCCCCTGCAAATCTTAGCTGACAGTGTCCCTCCTTTGCAGCTGGCTCTCCTCACAGAACTCTCCCAGAATCGCAGCAGCGAGAGCTATAGGCCATTCAGTGGCTCCCAGGGCGGTCCTGCTTTCAACAGCATCTTCCAGAACGAGAACTTCCAGCTGCAGCTCATTCCCCCGCCTGTGACTGAGGACTGATGACTCCGTGGAGCCTGGCCCGGGAGAACCAGAGGTCCCGAAGCAGCTGGGGAGAGGCCCCGCCTCTGGTGGGCTTGGCCTCCACTGCCTCCCACACTTCTGAGAAGAGGTTCCACATTGGGCTTCCTTGCCCAGGGCGTCCACACCACCATTCCCAGTGTAGACTCCCTGCCTTCACACCGTTGTCATGCGCCAGCTCACCTGACTGGTTGGGTTTTTTTTGCTTGTTAAGCAAAGGAACGTCAGTACCTCTGTCCAGCTTTTTAGGAAGTACATTTTGCCTACTGAGACTTTTTCCCTTTTCCCCTGAAGCCTGCAAAGTGGGTGGAACTCACACTAATGGCATTCCAGAGTCTGCCGTACGCCGCCTCCCACAGCTGGCGGGTGATACAGAGGAACTTCACCTTCTGCAGAAAACAGTGGTTGGCCAGGCTGCAACAGAACCGAATTAGGCCTTGGAGCAGAGACACGGAGGGGCCAGGGCCATCTCCCTTTTAATGTGTTCACGCGAAAACTTATTTGAGTGTAAGACTTGTCCTTTCTAACAATAAATGCCTCTGTGTTTAAGCTCCACAGGTCTCCTGGCTGGCTCTCAGGCTGTCAAGTCATGGAGGACATTTAGAGCCCTGTTCACAATTTTATTAGCCCAGAGTCAGGAACCTGAGTGTGACCACCTTCCTTAATTCAGATAAGCAGCCCATCCTCAGCTGTCTTCAGAGCCACCCGAATGCTCCTGTGACTGGGGCAAGGCTGCCAAAGAGAAAACTCCTCATTCAGTTTTTGGCCATGGGACTTGGTTTATCGTTGAAGCAGCTCCCACAGGAGGAGGCAGAGACCTAGGTTTCCACCTGACACACTCAGATGGTCTTTCCTCAGTGCACGGGAATGACAGGCTCTCATGGACCGATACTAACCAAACCCACAGGAAATTGACACATAAACTAGATATATGTTTTTTTTTGAGACAGTTTTGCTCTTGTTGCTCAGGCTGGAGTCCAGTGGCATGGTCTCAGCTCACTGCAACCTTCACCTCCCAGGTTCAAGTGATTCTCCTGCCTCAGGGTCTCAAGTAGCTGGGATTACAGGCACCCACCACCACACTCAGCTAATTTTTATATTTTTAGTAGAGATGAGGTTTCACCATGTTGGCCAAGCTGGTCTCAGACTCCTAATCTCAGGTGGTCTGCCTGCCTCAGCCTCCCAAAGTGTTGGAATTACAGGCGTGAGCCACCAGGACCAGCCAATACAAATTTGTAACCCTTAAATAGAAAATCGATCCTGCTCGTGCCATGTACTACTTGTAATCAGCACATCAGTTAACCTTGCTAAGCTTCTGTTTCTTTATAAATAGAACTGCTGTGGAGATGAAATAATACACGTAAACTTTTGCTGTGTGCCATGCAGGCACATGGCAAATACCCCGGAAATGCTAGCTGAGCTTTTTAATTTAACTGCTCCTAAGACCTGGGCTACAAGGGAACCGCTTCCTAATGTATCAGGAGATAAAATTGAGGGACGTGGTTGAACATAACTCATCACCATTCAGATGCCTGCTGCAGCCATATGACATAGTCTCAACCCCAGTTTACAGATGAGAAAGCTGAGTCAGAGGTGACAAGCAATTTCACCCAAGTAACATGCTGAAGAGGCAGCAGAGCAGGGTAGTTCAGACTTGTGATTCCAGAGTCAGTGATGCTACCTGCCCGAAGTTATGTATCAGAACGTTTCTCATTGAGCCTAAAATTAATGCCAAAGCAACTTGATATTCTCAAAGCGAAACTCAGTGATTCCCCTTCTTCTTTTACAGTATAAAGAACCAAGGCAAAAGGAATATTCAATATAGAAATGTAAATTGTGGGCCAGGCATGGTGGGTCATGCCTGTAATGCCAGCACTTTGGGAGGCCAAGATGGGTGGATCACGAAGTCAGGAGTTCGAGACCAGCCTGGCCAACATGGTGAAACCCTGTCTCTACTAAAAATACAAAATTAGTCGAGCATGTTGGTAGGTGCCTGTAATCCCAGCTACTCGGGAGGCTGAGGCAGAGAATTGCTTGAAACTAGAACAGTGAGACAAGATCACACCATTGCACTCCAGGCTGGAGGAAAGAGCAAAACTCCATCTCCAAAAAAAAAAAAAAAAGTAAATTGTGACATCAAAAACATGAAATGTGTTTGGGAGAGGTGAGGTAAAAGCAGAACTTTATGCAATCGAAGTTGTAATAAGCTTTAAATCACCTGTTATAGCTAAGACGTTTTAAGTAAGCTTCATAACCACAAAGCAGGAAATTATGGCAGATAGAGAAAGATAAAAAGCCAGGAGTAAATGCATACCATACCGGAGAAAAATCATCTAATCAGAAAGCAAGAGAGGAGGAAGGAAAAGGATCTACAAAACAATGAACAAAGTTGCAGTGATAAGTCCTTACCTATCAGTAGTTACCTTGAATGTGAATAGGTTAGATATGCCAACCAAAAGACAGAGCGGCCGACTGGATTAAAAATAACACCCAACTCTATGCTGCCTGAAAGAAACCCGCTTCACCGTTAGGGACACACGTAACTTGAAAGATGGAAAAAGATATTGTGTGCACGGGAAACCGTAAGAGAGCAGGAGTAGCTCTACTTAGATAAAATAGACTTTAAGTCAAAAACTGTCAAATGAGACCAAGTTATATAATAATATATATAATAAATATATTAATATTCATCAAGAACATACAACAGTTGCAAATATATATGCACATAACATCGGAGCACCTAAATCTATAAAGCAGATTATAAATCTGAAGAGCGAAACTGAAATACAATAATAATAGAGGACTTCAACAATGGACACACTATCCAGACAGAGGTAATGCAGAAACACTGGACTTGAATTATACATTAGACCAAACGGACCTAACAAACATACACAGAACATTCCATTCAACAGCATGAAAACACATTTTTCTCAAGTGCACATTGAACATTCTCCAGGATAGGCCATATTTAAGAAATTTAAAATTGAAAATCCTAACAGGTATTTTTTCTGACCATAATGGTATGAAACTAGAAATCAGTAATAAGAATTTTAAGAAATTCACAAATCTGTGGAAATTGAACATGTTCCTAAACAACCAATGGAGACAAAGAAGAAAGTAATCGGAAAATTTAAAAATATCTGGAGACTAGTGAAAATGGAAATAACCTCCCATAAAAAGACCATTTATGGTATGTGGCAAAAGCAGTTAAAGAGGAAAATTTATAGCTGTAAAGTCCTACATCAAGAAAGAAGAAAATCTCCAAATAACGTATTGGCATAACAATCTAAGGAACTATAAAAAGAACAAACCAAGCCAAGCCTAGAGTTGGTAAGAGGAAGAAAATATTAAAGATCAGAGCAGAAATAAATGAAATAGGGACTAGAACTAGAAAAATAATTTTTAAAAATCAGTGAAATTAAGAGATTTTTGTTTGAGACAGCCTATTGCTTTGTCACACAGACTAGAGGGCATGGCACAATCACTGCTCACTGGAGCCTCGCCCTCCTGGGTTCAAGCAAGCCTCCTACCTCAGCCTCCTGAGTAGCTAGAACTACAGGGGCATGCCCCCATGCCCAGCTTGCTTTTTTTTTAGAGGCATGGTTTTACTCTGTTGCCCAGACAAGTCTCAAAAAACTCCTGGCTCAAGCCATCCTCCCACCTCGGCCTCCCAAAATGTTGGGATTACAGATACGAACCACTGTGCCTGGCCAAGAAACCTTATCTCTACTAAAAATACAAAAATCATCCTGGCGTGGTTGCCCATGCCTGTAGTCCCAGCTACTTGCTAGGCTGAAGCAGGAGAAAGTGGAGGTTGCAGTGAACCAAGTTTGCACCACTGCACTCCAGCCTGAGTGACAGACTGAGACTCTCTCTCACACAAAAAAAACCAAACACTAAATCCAACAATACATCAAAATATAATACCCATGATCAAGTGGGATGTTACCACAGGAATACAAGGATGATTCAACATATGCAGATCAACAAACATGCTACATGACATAAATAGCATGAAGGACGAAAACTATATGATCATCTCTGTACATGCAGAAAAATCATTTGGTAAAATTCAATATCCCTTTATGATATTGAAAAAAAAACCTCTAAGGTATAGAAAGAAAGTACGTCAATGCAATAAGACCATATATGACAAAGCCACAGCTAACATAATAAGGAAAGACTGAAAGGTTTTCTTCTAAGACGTGGAGCAAGGCAGGGATGCCTACTCTTCCTACTTTTATTCAACATAGTATGGAAGTCCTATCCAGAGCAGTCAGACAAGAGAAGGGAGGAAACCAAATAGTCGCTGTTTGTAGACAACACAATCTTATACATAGAAAAACCTAAAGACTCTACGAAAAAAATTCATAAAACTGATAATTCAGTAAAGCTGCAGGATACAAAATCAACATGCAAAAATCATTAGTGTTTCTGTACACCAATAACTAGCTGAAAAAGAATGCAATCCATTTGCAACAGCTATAAAAAATAAAAACAACTTAGGAATACATTTAACCAAGGAGGTGAAAGGTCTCTACAAGGAAAACTAGAAAACACTGATTAAAGAAATTAGAGGTCAGGTGGTGGCTCATGTCTGTAATTCCAGCACTTTGGGAGGCTGAGGTAGGATCATCACTTGAGCTCACAAGTTTAAGACCAGCTTCGGCAAATGGTGAAACCTCATCTCTACCAAATATACAAAAATTAGCCAGGCTATTTTTTGTCCTGCTGGTGGCACATGCCTGTTGTCCCAGCTAAAAGGGAGGCAGAGGTAGAAGGATGGCATAAGCCCAGGAGGTGGAGGTTGTAGTAAGCTGATATAGCAGCACTGCACTCCAGCCTGGGTGATAGAGCCAGACTTTGTCTCAGGAAAAAAAAAAAAATAGAAGTTGGAAAAGACACAAACAGACATCCCATGATCATGAATTGGAAGAATTAATATTTCTAAAATAACCATATTACTCAAACAAGCTACAGATTCAATGGAGGCCCTATCAGAATGCCAGTGTCATTCTTAACAGAAATAGAAAAGACCTCTTAATATGTGTATGGGACACAAAAGACCCTGAATAGCCAAAGCGATCTGAGCAAAAACAACAAAGTTGGTGGCTTACACTACCAGACTTCAGAATATACTACAAAGCTATAGTAACCAAAACAGCATGGCACTGGCATAAGAATACACATAGAATAGAGAACCTAGAAATCAATCCATGTATATGCAGCCAACTGATTTTTGACAAAGACACCAAGTACACTGATTGGGAAAAGGACACCCTCTTCAGTAAGTGATGTTGGGAAAACTGGATAGTCATATGTAGAAGAAAGAAACTAGACCCCACCTCTAAATCTATACAAAAACCAACTCAAAATGGATCAAATACCTAAATATAAGACCCAAAACTATAAAATTACTAGAAGAAAGCATAGGAAAAACACTTCAGGACATCGATCTGAGAATAGATTTTATGACTAAGTCCTCAAAATCACAGGCAACAAAAGCAAAAATAAATTGGATTATTTCAAACTAAAAAGTTTCCACACAGCAAAGGAAATAATCAACAGAGTGAAAAGACAGCCTAAAGAATGGAAGAACGTATTTGCCAACTGTTCATCCAATAGGAGATTAATATCTATATCCAGAATATATAGGCCAGGTGTGGTGGCTTACACCTGTAATCCCAGCACTTTGGGAGGCTGAGGTGGTGGGTCGGTTGAGTCCAGGATTTTGAGACCAATATGGGGAAACCCTGTCTCTACAAAAAAATACAAAAAGCCAGGCATTGTGGTGTGTGCCTGCAGTTCCAGCTACTCAGAAGGCTGAGGTGGGCAGATCACCTGAGCCTGGGAGATTGAGGCTGCAGTGGGCCATGATCATGCCACTGCATTCCAGCCTGGCACAGTGAGGCCCTGCATCCAAAAAAAGAAAAATACAAATATACAAGGAACTCAAACATGTCAACAGAAAAAAAAATTGTTATGAGCAGATAATATGAACAGGTATTTCTCAAAAGACATATATAGCCAAAGACAGATGATGAAATGCTCAATCATCAGGGAAATGCAAATTGAAACCACAATGTGGTATCATCTCACTCCAGGATGGCTGTGATCAAAAAAGGCAAAAAATATCCAATGCTGGCAAGGAAAGATGTGGAGATAAGGGAATTCATAACTGTTGGTGGGAATGTAAACTAGCACAGCCACTCTGGAGAATAGTACAGAGGCTCCTCAAAAAAGTATGAATAGAACTGTCATATGATCCTGCAGTCCCACAATGTGGCATTTATCCAAAGGAAAGGAAATCAGTATGTTGAAAGACATCTGCACCCCAGTGTTTATTGCAGTACTATTTGCAATAGCCGAGATATGAAGTCAACTTAGGTGTCCAACGGCAGATGAATGGATAAAGAAAATGTGGTATATATGCACAATGGAATATTAGCCATGAAAAAGAATGAAATCCTGTGATTTACAGTGACACAGATGGAGCTAGAAGACATTATGTTAAGTGAAATAAGCCAGGAACAGAATGTTTATCACCACATGTTCTCACTTATATGTGGAAGCTAAAAAAGTTGATCTCATAGAAGTAAAAAGTAGAACAGAAGATAGCAGAGGCAGGGAAGGGTACAGGGAAGAGGGGAATAGGGAGAGACGTTTTAAAGAATACAAAATAAGAGGAGGAATAAGTTCTAGTGTTCGGCACCACTGTAAGATGACTCTAGTTAATAATATAGTCTCAAATATCTACAAGAAGGATATTGGATGTTCCCAAAACAAAGACATGATAAACGTTTTGAGATGATGGTTATGCTAATTACCCTGATCTGATCGTTGCACATCATATATATTGAAACATTGCTATACACCTGATACGGTTTAGCTCCACCCAAATCTCATGTTGAGTTGTAATCTCTAGTGTTAGCAAGAAATCTCTAAACACTGGTGGGAGATGACTGGATCATGGGGGCAGATTCCCCCCTTGCTGTTGTGCTAGTTCTCATGAGATCTTGTTGTTTAAAAGTGTGGAGTACTTCCCTGTTCACACTCTCTCCTGCTGCCATGTGAAGGAGTTACTTGCTTCCCCTTTGCCCTTCTGCCAGAATCATAAGTTTCCTG